TATTAAGTTCGAGATATTAAAAAATTAATATTAATTCTCTTTAAAGCTTTGGACGATGTTTAGACTGAATGAAGATGAAATATGTTGTTAAGTGAATTACAAACGATAATGAAAATATATATATATATATAAAATAAAATTGATTTTTGAAGAATGTGAATGGGTGATTAAGAGAGATTTAAAAAAATATGTAAAAATTTTGAAGAATTGATTTTGTCGGTTAGCATAAATATACGACATTATGAGGACGCTAGGTACACGAAATTGCATCATAAAAGACGAATAATCGATCTTAATTAACTATTAAGTGGCGTTTTAAAAACTGCTCTGATTTCTTCTGTGATCATAGCGTAATGCACGTAATAATCACGTGAGATTGCATAAACCTATTTTGTATATACACTATCATTTCATAACGTTTGCACATTAATCATAATTCATCGACTAATAGAATTAATTGAAATATTGTAAATATTTAGTCGAATTAGTTATGTAAAAAAAAAAAAAAAAATGGGAATTATTATCCAAAATCGTTGCCAAATACGAAAATAGGATTACGTCTATACGACGAGATCTTCTATTAATAATTTTTGTAACAAAAAAAAAAAAAGAAAAAAGAAAAAAAGGAAACAACGGTTGTTCGATACATCGAGAAAATCACATTTGTCGATCTTTCTGTATATAAATTTTCTTCCTGTAAATATCACACGAAATAACAGACGAATAAGTGAATAAGTTCAAAGCATAAAACAAATTTCCAAATATGACTATACGAACTAATAGACTTTTTTAGATAATCTTTTCTCCTTCTTTTCGATATCTCCTCTGCAGACTATAGGAATTGCTACACGTAGATTTAAATGATAAAAAAGAAAAAACGCAACAATCGCGTTTCGATCGAAAATACGAAACGCTTTACGATCTAGTCGCTCTAATTTTAATAATCTAACGTTAATCCGCGCTTGATCTTTGTATTTGCGATTAAAAAATGAAAATAACAAACGACGAATAACATTCCGTTTTCGTAGATGTAAATACGTGATGTTGAAGAAAAATTGTAAATTCATTTTCGTAGAGTCGCAATCGTGCGATAAACATATCCGATCTAACCCGTAGTTGTTTTTTCGCTAGCGATAGTTGCGCAAGAATGAGTAAAATTGTCGATCGCTTGAAAAAAAAAAAAACAATTCGTTCCGAATGATTTTATATATAAGTGAATTTGTTCGTGCGTAAATGTATAAAAGATTTCTAAAAAAAGTTTTGAATTTTTATAAAACCGAAAGGAACATCCACTGTCAAACCTTGGATACAAATGAGCCCGGTATCCATTGTTTGGCACGATTCTATTTTCCTTTAAAACATGAACAACGATACATTGTTACATTGAAACTTGTGAATTCGATTAACAATTAAAATTTTCACTCGTAAAATTCAACATAAACATATATGAAAGAATTGTGAGAATGTAAATATATATTTTACCAACGATCATATTCCATTCGAGAGTATGTAAATATATAATTGTACATACAATATACGATAATGTACATTAAGTATTAAAGCATGAAACGAAAATATTAGTATACGGAACCAATTTAGCCATAATTAAATTCTATAAGAGTTTAAGAGACTACGAATATGAGATTAAAAAAAATAATAACAAGATGATAATTCCGTAACGCGATAATTGATAATTGTCGTGAGAAAGAGAGAAAACTCTAAGCTAGTTCGCGCGAACTATTACGATCTAAGGATATTTTAAATACGTACGAACACTGCAGTAGAAAGACACAAATTTACATGATGTTACACTGGATGTATTCGTTGGAAAACGATCGAAAAATATCGAAAAAGAAAAATTATCGAAATAAAATGAATCGTGAAAAATTATCTTTCTCCTTTTACGCAATTATCTATCCCCTTTTCCCACAACAACACCACGATACCTTGGCTAGGCATAAATTTGATTAAATTTTTCACATCCATGCGCACCAGGTGCATCTTACAATAATCACGTGTTACTTTTTAGGATCAGTTTTATTTCTCAAAAAGTACAAAAAGATTACACAGGAAACGATGCGCTGTTCTTACAACGACGTGGACACAGACAGACAGATAGACAGACACAATCCAATCGAGTTGGTGATATGCCACAAGGTTTCACCTAAAGCTGAACTTCTCAATTTGGCTCATCGTTCAGTTCATGGTGCCTTACCGGATTAGTAGATCCTGAAAATCCCGATTAGGCGTATCATTTGTGACTTGTACCTACTATACACATGATGGTTAAATTGTGAGAAAAAAAAAAAAAAACACGATAGATTTAAGACTTTCTACTGTTTTAAAAGAGACGCACGCTCCGATTGGACAGGGTTGGAGAAGTTTACGCGACTTCCGGTACCACCTATTCCTGAAAGCTGGGTGCAGCCTTTCGCGAAAGCTTGCCTACGAATAACCAAAAGTACAGAAAAGAAAATTTCAATGAATCGAGTTGGGAAATTGATAGTTACAATTCCTATTTATCCTATGCGCTAATCAATATATCTATAAAGAGAAAATATAACTATAAGCCTAATTTATTCTAAATCTTACAATCATTCGTATACATACAGACGTAAAGGAGAGGCATTAAGGGGGTGCAGAGAAATAGAAAAGCCTCGCTAAAATAAATTATCTTTTTATTCCATTAGCAATTACAACGCTTTGTAATTCAACTGACATTTCTTGTTCACTAAGCAACGTATCGTTCGTATACCGTTTACATCCTCCTAAACACACAACTTTTCCTTTTCTCTTTTCTTTTTTTCTTTCTTTAATAACAACGGTCGATCCGACTAGTTACACTTTATCACTTCAGTTATTATATTTTGTTCTCTCTCTCTCGTATCTATGTTATTTCATCGTTTTTATAGGGTGAAAATAAAAAGATAACAAGATAACACAAACGATGGAAAAAAAAAAACTATAAATATTGTACGAGACACATTTAAGCAACTTATCACGCTGTATTCTACTGTCATACAGTAATGACAGTATTTTTGTGTATAGGCACAGATACAATAATAAATATGTATGCAATTTATTGCAACAACTATGAATAGACTTGCCTATAAAACTTGTCGAACCCTGCTTCGTTATTCATTCACACCTTATAACGCAAAGTATAAAATCTTTGGTCTGGACTAAAAACTCTTAATACATACTAGACGTTTTTACAAAATTCGGAAGCTTATTCGTTATAAAAGTACTTATTCTTCTTTCTTGTAAGAAAATCGTTCGTCGTTTTCTCATTTATTATTGTAAGGTCTCGATGTGAGGACGATCACAATGTGTTTGCCATGCTCGTGACACGGTATTGTGCACGATTTACATTTGTCTGCTTCGAATCGCTGACAACAAATATTAATTCGATATTAAGTTTAATGCCTGCATGTGTTTACAACGATTTAATCGATTAAATTCTCTTTGTTATTATTTGTTAATTTTCTCTCTCTCTCTTTCTCTCTCTCTTTCTCTCTCTCCCTCTCTCTCTCTCTCTCTCTCTCTCTCTCTCTCTCTCTCTCTCTCTCTCTCTCTTTTCTTATACTAATCTAATGTGCAGTGAAATAAGGAATCTACGAATTTTATGATCAGGGAATTTTTACATCGTTTAATAATAATAATCGGCTAATTTTTCTAATGTAAAGAAAACTCTAAATAAAAATTTAATCTATATAGTAGAAAATGTTAATGATAAAATATGAAATTTAATAATTATACCAACTCAAAATCTAAGCTCAAATATTACGTGTAAATGCATTTATTGATTTCCTTTCTTCCGTTTAAGATATCTAAACTACCTTAATATCCCCATGCATTGTTAACTTGAATTACAATCTTAAATAAAGTGAATATAAATTCGTTTTTATATTATCCCTTTTCCCATCTTATATCAATATATTATTGTTTTTACTCCAACATATAATATAACAGAAACGACAATTTAGAAAAAAATTTGCAACTTTAATGTAACAAAACGTTTCATATAAACAAATACTATCATAAAACAAACATAACAGTGATTTATAATGCTATTTTTCATTACTTGTATTCACAAGATTTTCGTTTGAAATTAATGAAAACTCAATTCCTCTGGTATCTGTATGATATGCCAAGATATGGCAATGAACGTTTTCTCCGTTCGCAATGGTGCTTCTTAATTGAAATTGGCATCGACTATCGCTGTTTACATAGGATTGCAAGGATTTCAATATAAATTACATATAATATACTAGAATCCTGTCATCGATGAGATACATTTCATGTGATAAAAAATTACTGAATTGTCTTCCAGAACTTACCACTTCCTTTAATACCTTTGACCTTCTGTTGCTTTTTCTTTGCATCAGGTGGAGCTGATAATGCTTCCCTACTTGATTCACTTCCTCCCGATCCTGAACTACCTCCTGCCATATCAGCTTCCTGCACACCACCACCTCCGGCTTGTGCAGCAAGTGATTTTTTTATGTTAGCAATCTACCAACAAAGATATTACAAATTTGGAAGCCTTGCCATATTTTATCACTTTCTCTGGAGGAAATATTACTCACATCTCTTTGTATTCTTTCTTTGTGATATGTGGCCTTTTGTTTTTCTACATTTGCTCTTGTAACTTGTTCTTCGATACATGCTAATACGGTGTCACAAGCTTGACCCCAAGCGGCTAATGTTTCAGCCACTACACCTGTATCAGCAGGTCTAACATCACGTCCTAAACCAGCATAATCTACTTCTAATTGTGAATTTTTTTGATCCAATTTGCCATGTATTATATCTGC